TGGACTCTTAGCAAGCTCAGGAACTCATCTGTACCAATTGTTGGACGTGAAACCCTCGAAAACTTGAGAACCAGGGAATCCCGATTTTGTGCATTATTCATGCACACGTGATCATGAAGTTTTTAGAAGTTTTTAAGGTCATAGGAAGTTTTAGATCACTCTCACGAAGCTCAGGGAAGAAAGTTGAAGCGTTTTGGACGTTGAGAAGCCCAGTTTTAGTGAGTTGCAGGTTTGGCTAGAATATCGTGGGTTTTTCCGGCAAGATTCCGTTGGTTTTAGGGCTTCAAAGTGGTAAGGTTTTGTTCTACTTGTTGCAAGCTTCAATTTGGTACCAATTTCATGGAATTTGGTTGAGAAATGAAGAAGATATGAAGTTTTGAAAAAATTTCCAGTTTCTGGCAACGCAAACGGTGGCGGACGGCGGCGGCCGGCGAGACTCACCAGAGAAGACAATGGAATATTTCGTTAAGTTAGCGGAATATTCTTAATGGCGTCATATTAGTTTTAACGGAATATGCTTGCTTTTGGACATAATATTCCCTAACGCCGTTAGGGATTCCGTCCGTGTGCCTGCGCGTGGCCGACGTGTGGGGGCGCGTGTGACATTAGAAAATTATTTTAAAAATATTGGGATGTTCATGAGGTTGAGTAGATCACGTTGGTGTATTCACACACCCCATTTGAGCATTTTATGAGAAGTTATTACCTAGTTTTGGTTATGTGCTTTAAATTGACGTTTTTATAGTTGTTTCGCATATAAGTGAGACCTATCCCGAGGATGAGCGCAGTCACTCGAGGCAAGGGGGTTACGACCCTTCCACATACCAGTGAGTGAGCTTTTGGTTTTCCGTATATACCTATATAATTGTGGTTTTTCCTAGAAAATGAAATGGAATGTTGATATGTTTTAAATGCCATGCATAGTGTTTGCCTGTTTATTTATGCATTAGTAGTTGCATATATGTATGTTTGATGCTGCGGACGCACAGGTAAGTGCCAGGTAAGTTTATGGTTTATGATTGCGAATTAGTGGTTATATGAGATGCATTGAGAGCTCATAACCTGCACCCCCGGTGTTAGTGCTTCTGCTCAGAGTAGGGCACAGTCCTTCACGTGATGTTCACCTCCCGCACCACATGCTCATCTTGGATCCAAGTTAGGTGCACAGTCCTGTCGTACAAACCACTATAGGTGGTTCTGACTCGTAGGTGACCCGCGATTATTCACCCAGTCTTCATGTGATCGTAGCACTTGAGCGTATTTATTTACACCCAATCCTGTCGTATAGACCACTTTAGGTGGTTCCGACTCGTGTGCAGATATAGTTAGTGAGTTGGGGATTTGAGCTCTAGATTCAGCCGTACAGGTCACGTTAGGTGACTCCGGCTGACATGTTATTTGCATTGATTGACATTACTTGGATTACTTACATTTTATGTGGAGACATTCGACATGGCATATTTCTGAGTATGTTTTCGATATATGTGTATATTCTATTTTCTGGGAAACTATACAAGTTTTACGGCGAGGGGTTAGAACTTTTGATATTGAAATGATTTTGAAAAGCTTTGTTTTTGTCCACTCACACTTTCTGTTTTGCGCCCTTCCAGGTTCTAGTTGGATTGCTCTTTTGGTGGCTTATGAGGAATCTATGGCATATCTGACAGATTATCACCAGTGTAGGACCACCTCTGGGTGTGTTTAGTTAGTGTTTGTTCCTCTAGACTGCACTAGGCTTTCTGTGCTTTGGATATTATTTTTCACACTTATGCTTGCACTTGTATGTTAACTACTCTGTGTGTAGTTTGGTTTTTATTTTTTTTGTACTTTTATTATTATCTTTTGCTTCTGCACTGTGCACATGGTTACGTCACCCTCACGTGATGGCCAACACACCTTGATTTCGGTCGAAGTGTGTCACAATAGTATAATTTATATTTTAATATTTTCCCCACAAATTATGGTTTTTTTATTTAAAATTTCATTAATATAAACAACTATAAATTTCAATTTTTAATTAAAAAAATATAGTAACATACATAGAAATAAATTATCATATTAATTTCAGGAACTTCAATAAAAATTTGAAAACCAATAAGGTTTCAGTTAAAAAATATTCATAGCTATGGACCGCATCCAATATCTTCTTTAGTATTACTTGGTTTCTGATTTTTTTAAAATGATAGACTGTCGTGACAAAATTATTGATTAGTCTCTTCTTTTTCATAAAAAAAAAAAAAAAAAAAATACCAAACCAAAACGTCTATTACAAGTATCGGTTAGACAAACTTTGATGACATGTGTACATGTTTATACGACATGTCAATCCAAGCGTGACCTGGATTCTGGCCAAAGTATTTGGGAACATGACATTGTTGGTCCCACCTACATAGTATTAGGGTACCATGTGTAAGCACGGCGACGGTTGAGATGAAGTGGCCTCTTTCGGACTGGGCGCCTGCCCCCTCAACGTTAATTGCGACGTAGCCGTGGGACATACAGGTCTTATTATTAGGTTGGGTAAAACTTCAAAGTCAATCAAAGGGAAGGTCCGTGATTGCTTCCCACTGTTCATTGAATCTTCTGTACCGTCCGATGTACGTCAATCTATGAATAGTCAACGATTCAGGCAGCCTGATAGAAATCGCCTTTGTCAAGCGTATCTCCGAAAGAATGCTGCCTTGTGACATCCCACATCGTCCAGGGGAGTGATCCTTATATGTATATTCCCATCTCTACCTAGCACGAGGCCTTTTGGGAGCTCACTGGCTTCGGGTTCTGTAGGAACTCCGAAGTTAAGCGAGAAGGGGGCTAGAGCAATCCCAGGATGGGTGACCCACTGGGAAGTTGCTCGTGAGTTCCCAAAAAAACAAAACCGTGAGGGAATGGTAAGCCCAAAGCGGACAATATCGTGCTACGGTGGTGGAGCGGACCCGGGAAGTGATCCCACCCGGGCCGGGATGTGACAAATTTGGTATTAGAGCCTAACCCTGGCCGTGGTGTGCCGACGAGGACGTCGGACCCCTAAGGGGGGTGGATTGTGACATCCCACATCGCCCAGGGGAGTGATCCTTATATGTGTATTCCCATCTCTACCTAGCACGAGGCTTTTTGGGAGCTCACTGGCTTCGGGTTCCGTGGGAACTCCGAAGTTAAGCGAGAAAGGACCCACTGGGAAGTTGCTCGTGAGTTCCCAAAAACAAAACCGTGAGGGAATGGTAAGCCCAAAGCGGACAATATCGTGCTACGGTAGTGGAGCGGGCCCGGGAAGTGATCTGCCCCGAGACGGGATGTGACATGCCTCCCTTCATTAATTATTATCTTTTGAATTGGTTTTGAAAAAATTCTCTAACCAATAATAATGAATACCATTGGAGGGAAAGACAAAGGTGGAAACAAAATGCTATTATATTCTTATCTTATGTGGATCGCCACTATAAATTTTAATTAAAAAGTCAATTACAAAGACCTTTTCGTGACGAGAGGCTGTAGTTATTGTGTTTGCAAGTGCATTTAAAATGACTGAAATCGTATTTGATAAACCGATTTTGAAATTTTTAGTAAAAATGCAAGTAAATCATGAAAAAACATTTGAAGTGTTTTATGCAAAAAATACATAATTAGTTCTTCCTCTAAAATGCTCTTCTAGCGCTTTTAAAATCACAAAAGCATTTTCATTAAAAGTAATTTCAGTCATTTTACCACATTTCACCATATTTATAGTATTAGCTAGTTATTGTGCATAATCTACATAATCTTTTTTTTTTCCTATTATTATTTTGGCTTTTACTATTTCACCTATATATAGCAAAATTTTTTTTTTGTACCAAAAGTATTGTACTAAGTTTCACTAAAGAAAATGATACAGTAATTTAAGTTTTGGTAGTCATTTATTCTACTATCTTTTAAATGATTTGTACAAACGTTTTTTTTCTTTCTATAAATTTGTGTAAAGAGAAAATTGTACAGAAATCAAGCCTCTATATTTTCCTATAAAATTGTAGTAATACATTTTATTTGGCCGGACTTCAATGACATAGGGGCACTTGGTAATTGACTTTGACATCCTTCCCACAAATTTCTTCAAAAAATCCAAATCAAAACGAAGAACCGAAAAACCCACCATTAAGCTAAAAACAAGAAAAAAGTCGAAAAGCAAAAGCATCAAAAGCAACAAAAGAAAATTTTAATATAATAAAAAAAATTAAATAAGTATAAGTTGGGCTACCTGTTAAGGACTCAGGAGTCTGATTATGGTCAAAACTCTAATTGAAGTTTTGAAAATAAATTGGCTGCTTATCACTACACTGCTAAAATGGTAATAAGATCTCTCAAAAGTGAGAATTTTTATAAATTCTAAATATTTTTTTTTTGTATGATGGTTTATAATATTGACACGTAATTTAATATTAAATTGTGAAGTGATAAAAAAGAGTTCAAATCTTTTGCCTCTAAAATTTTCTATAGCCTCTCTCATAATTCTAACACTTGTCCACAACTAACAATTTTGATATATATCTCCCACTAATTTCATTTTTTTATTTTTTATTCTAGATGGTTTTAAGTGAATTAACAGACGTCACAGTATGAAAGAGGCCATAAAAAAACCACATAAGATTTTGAAGGTAGGAAATTTAAACTCGACAATAGTAGTCCATGAGAGTCCACGAGAGTCCTGAACATTCCTCTCACTACAAATTAGTAATTTTAGTTGAACAAGACTTGGCTCCTGAATTTTCGCAGCCATTCTTGCTTACACATGGACAAATCAAAATTCGGATGTGTCCACCCAGAAGCGTAAGCAGAAGTGGGTGCTGAATTGTTTAGTTGCCAAGTTAATTCCATTTTATTTTTTAACAAACGATATAATTTACAATCTACGTTAATTTATTATTTTGTTGAGATCTCCACATAATTAAAAATAGAATATAAAAACCCTCTTTCTTCTCACTTTTCTCGGGTTCTCCCTGTGTTTCCCTTCCGAGTCCAGCCAAAGTCCGCCTCCTCCACCACCACCACGTCCACCGCCCTCCGAATCGTAACGGCCGAAGTCCCCGCAGCCAACCGCCTAAAAACACGAGAACCTCAAACCTCGGAACTATCAGGAATCATAGCATTCTTGCCGTTAAACTGAAACTGCTTTTTGTTTTTTTGATTTTTTTAATCTTTCCTCTCACGCTATTTGCAACCCGAGATCACACCTATAAGCACCAAAAGCTTGGATTCGCAGAAAGTGCTTTTCCGCGTGATTCCCAGCTCCTGAACGGCTTTTCTCTTCAGCAGATCTTGCTCGGGCTATATGAGGTCGGTTCATTTGTCTCTCGATTCACTCGTTGCGTTTTCTGTTTGGTTACCGAGAAAATTAGGTAGAGTGCTGCTCAGCCAAGCTCGATTAAGTTATTATTTAGCTTCCTGAATTTCCATTTTTCTCAATATTTTAGTTTGAATTGATTTGATCGCAAGCAGTTTAACTAAAAGCAATCCGATATATCAATTTAATTTGTTTAAATTTTTATCGATTTTGGTCGTGGAGTTTAATGTTTTGATTTTGAAGTTACTGGAGATTTTTGATCGGGAATTGTCACATGAGCCATTGGATTTATATATATATTTTTTCTGGTCGGTTTGTTCGTTGTCTCTGACATTAAGCAAGAACAGCTGTTATTCTGTCTTAATTTAAGGTAGTGGGATGTTTAATTCAAAGGGAGCACGTGGATGATTTCAATGAATGGGTGTTAGATTTTGTGACTTTGTGTAAGCTGCTCATTGTCAAATGGAAGCACATGATCGCTTCGTTTCTCCGTATGTAGACGGGGATTGAGGAACGGGCATATGACTTCTTGCTTGTTGCTTCTTTATATTGTGTTTGAAGAATTCTGCTTGGTAGGTTAGGCTATAAGTATGCGGTTTCTGCTGTTCAATGGTCAATGTGGTCTGTGAATTCGAATTGAAATGCAGCGGAAAGTGAGATGTTATTGAGAGAGATAAAGCGTTTCCATCTTACAGCAGCTTTGGGCCGTGAGTTGCAAGCGCTACCCATCTATTGATATGGTTTGTGCATTGATTTACAAAAATTGTTCGGGTCATTTTTGTAGTTGTATATTCTTGTATTACTGAGTCATAGAGTTTTGCTTAAATTCCTGAAGTTGTGTGCTCAAACTTATGTTCCTGTGTATACGATAAACCAGGTTTTTGTTCCTTCATGAGGTTTGTCGTTTCATTTAAGGAATTTGCAACTGAAAACCTGTTAAATAATGCAGATCAGCTATCGCTTTCTACTTGCAGTTCATTTTTCCGTGAATGTATAGTCAGAAGCTTGTAAATAACATGGGAATCCTTTCGCGCAGGTTAACTTTTGTGACAGCCTATTTTCATCAACGAGCTAACTTTTGTTGTCTTTAAGTTTATTATGGAGATCTGATCACCGCTAATTACATTTACATGTTGTTGGCTGCAGTGCGGGTGGTAGGAAACCAAATGAGACCATGAGGCTTATTGTGACAACTTTTGTAGGAGTAGTTTTTGGGTTCTTGATAGGTGCATCCTTTCCAACATTGTCACTAACAAGGGTACTCAGTTCTTTTGGGTGTCTGTTATACTCCTCTCTGTTACTTACAAAATGTATTTAATACGTGTACACTTTGACAGCTGAATCTCTCATCCAGCCTTCATCCAACTATTGATCTGTCATACAATGAGGACCTGAAATCAGACATCTCCAGCCAAGCACTTCTAAGTTCTTGGTCTTCTGCAAGGAGTAAAAATAGCACAAGTCAAGATCAGAGTTCGAATGGCACATCGAGGGTATACGTCAGTCTCCCTGACATTAACAGTAGTGTCTGAAATGACTTGCATCAGTATTAATGTTGTATGTTATTGAGGAGTGTGTTGAATCTTGGCTATTTCGTAATACAAATGTCGAACCAGGTCTATAATTGCTAAAAATCTGAGTGTCATTTTCGATATAGTTTACAGATTCCTGTTGATCCATGCCAATTCTCCTTATATAGTCATTACTTATCTAGACTGAAGCTTACATTTCCTGCAGATTTGGGTGCCATCAAATCCCAGAGGTGCAGAAATGCTACCACCAGGAATTGTTGCAGCTGAGTCAGACTTCTACTTGCGCAGATTATGGGGCAATCCTAATGAGGTGTGTATTCTATTTTTACTTATACAAGCAAAATAGTTAACAGTTTGGACTTCACACAATGCCAGGAATGGTCTAATAGATACTGAAGATAATGCAGCATAATTACAGATTCTCTGTGTCTTGAATTGATTTCTTTGTAATGTATATGGGATATAAAGGATATTATTTGACATGTCCTTTTCAACGTTATTATGAAATAATGGGATATGTTTGTTGCAAATAAAGCTGGAACTGGAATCTTCTGTGTTACGCATTTGATTTGTCTAGGAATTCATATCAAAGAAAATAGTCATTTTAGCATACGTATTCATTGTCATATTTGAAGTCTGTTGTCTGCAAATTTTAGGTTGAAAGATAAAAGGGAAACAGTTGAATAACATGCCAAGGTTTTTTTTTTATTGAATTCTCTCTAGTCCCAGTGAGACTGCCAAGTTAAATCCTTTGTTTTTGATGGCACACGATACTTCTCATTTTAATGTGTCGTTATTCAAACTGCAAGTCTTTTGATTAAGATGACAATTGCAGGACGTGACTATCAAACCAAGGTACCTTGTGACATTCACTGTGGGTTTGAATCAGAAAAGGAATATTGATGCGGCAGTGAAAAAGGTTTCCCTCTCTCCCTCCCTCTCTCTGTGTGGTGGTGGATGTGTGTGACTAAATATCTTTCTCTCACAGTTTTCAGAGAACTTTACGATTCTCCTTTTTCATTACGATGGCCAAACAACTGAATGGGATGACTTGGAGTGGTCTAAGCGTGCTATACATATTAGTGTTCGTAAGCAGACTAAATGGTATGAACAATTGCTAACTCCTATTTGTACTTCAATAATGAATAGTTTCACTGGTTTTTGAATTTAAACTTTTTGTCAAAGGTGGTATGCCAAGCGGTTTTTGCATCCTGACATTGTGGCCTCATACGACTACATATTTATCTGGGATGAAGACCTGGGAGTAGAGCATTTTAATTCAGAAGAGTGAGTTTTCATTACAAAGTAATTCTTTGGTGTTGGGCTAGTTAGCCTACGAAATTAATCTCTTATGCCTCCCTTTTCAATCCAATTTCAGATACATTAGACTAGTGAGGAAGCATGGTTTGGAGATTTCACAACCTGGTTTGGAACCCAACAAAGGTTTAACATGGCAGATGACAAAGAGGAGAGGCGATCGTGAAGTTCACAAGTAAAATCATGGAACCTAAACTGAAACTTATTTATTTGTTTCAGATTTAGTTTATGAACTATGAAGTAATCCTGAAACCCTTGTCTCAAATTGTTCCAGACAAACAGAGGAGAAACCGGGCTGGTGCACTGACCCACTTCTGCCTCCATGTGCAGCGTAAGACACTAAGAAATTACAGAGGACATTTTAGTGCTGTTGTTTGTCTTCCTCTGTATGTGACATTCGTGTTTAATAAATGTTTCTTGTTTCTGTCATATTGATTCAGCTTTATTGAAATCATGGCTCCAGTATTTTCTCGAAGTGCCTGGCGCTGTGTGTGGCATATGATTCAGGTATTAAGATCGCGATATCTTTTTCCATTATCACCACTTGTTAGCACTCGGTTAAATTAGCCGTCTTGTTACTTAATTCTGTGATTGCTACACTTGGTGTTTGCAGAATGACTTGGTCCACGGCTGGGGTCTTGACTTTGCCCTGAGAAAATGTGTAGAGGTTGGTGACCCACTTCCTAACCTCCTTGATGTTTCTGTTTTGTACTTTATTTCGTAATCTGCACATGGCCGGATTTGAATGGAACTCCTAATTAAATGCATTTTTTCATTGCAAATAGCCTGCGCATGATAAGATCGGTGTTGTAGATTCTCAGTGGATCATTCATCAAACTGTTCCTTCATTGGGGAGCCAGGTAAATATCACTTTTTAGCCGCTGTCATCATCTCGTTTCCTTAATAAACATATTTTAGATATTGATACGAAAAGCTTAATTTATTTCGGCTTTCTGTAGGGTGAATCAGAAAATGGAAAGGCGCCATGGCAAGGGGTATACAAGAACTCTTATTCTAATGCCATTATTTCGCATTTATATCTTAAAAACGTCGATTACTCACACAAAAGTTATCTTATAAACAACAAAAACGCGCAATTTTTTTTAATCAAGTTTGCTGATATCGCTGTTGTCTTTACTGCTGATTCCAGGTAAGGGAAAGGTGCAGAAAGGAATGGACGATGTTTCAAATGCGAGTATCAAATGCAGAAAATGCGTACTTTAAGGCTATCGGGGCAGATCCCTCAACTTCAAAGGCCCATTAGGGGAAACAGCAGCGATGACAGAGGTACTGTACACAATCGACGACTCAGGACCACCATGTCGATTGGTGTTTTACATAAATTTGTAAAATCCGTTACGATTTGTGATATTCATTAATTGACCAAATCGCAGAATTAGGTCCTTGAGTAAAAACACAGCGTCGATTAAATCGTCCTTTAGAATTTCGGTGCTTTAGTGACAACTCCTCTGACTCGGTGTAACATATTCTTATTAGGATTCGTATCATTACTACTGTATGAGATGTTGTGCTTGTTAAACGTATACTAGATACCAATAAATCGGAATTCAGAAGAGGCGATCGATTTTGCCATTGCCGGAAAAACATGAATCTTGTTTCACCTGGGTTTCGTGTTTCGTAAAACATGTCACGAACTTTGTTGGTATCATCGTGTCACGGTCGTTTAGAACTATGAGTCGCATGTTGCAGATGAAAATTTGCTTGAAACTGGAATTTTTGGTATGGAATCATTGATAGAGCTTAGTATTCGTTATGGGGAATCAATTCTCCGGGCCGAGCAGAACTTGCCTCCGGCTCCTGGCTTTCGCTGTTGCACGCTTCGTTAGCTGTGCTTAATGCCCGACCCGGTTTTATTATCCCGACCCTATGTCACGTGAGGAGAGCGATACAGGAGAGTGAAATGAAGGTAGGTAAGGTATTTCAAGAATTTTCTGTGAACCCAATTCTTCTACAACCTAGAAGCCAACGTACAAGAAAAAGTTTCACAATAAAGAATTTTCTTCAATACTATGTAGTATTGTAATGATACGTAGAATTAAAGCCACACCCAGACACTCAAAATTTAAAGAATAAGTACCGTTGTAGCAACCCAAAATTTCAAGCAATTAATTCCGAGGCGTTACATGTGAAGTGTGAATGCGATGTCTCACTGCAACTGCACAAACAATTTGGAACGCACAACTGTCCGTATGAAAGCAAGCAACCATACATCATAGTTTTAGCTCTATTTATGTATGAGATCATCAAATTAATCGAATCAACTTTTGTTTTCTGAATTTGTGACGATGGCTTTTGAGTCACGAAAGCGTGGACCACTCGCTTGGTTCCGAGGGAGAGAGAGCAAGATATCAGTCATCGCAATCACACCATTATTATTTATTACGTCATATGTATATGTATTATGCTATTTAGAACGGGATAGGAACAAGGGACAAATTTTTTAAGAACTTTTTTACACTCATTTGTAGCCTTTAAATTTTATAATATCTAAGGGTTCTTATTTATTCATTAAATGACATAAATATTTATGTGGATTTTAACTAATATTAAAGATAAAAATAAACTGAAAAAACATAAAATATGGGAGAAAATTAAAAATAAGATTAAAAAAAAAAAAAAAACCCTAATCGTGAAAATAAGAAAGGAGGTCTGCAACCTCCATCTCCCCAGGTTTGCAACTTCCATGCTTGAATCTCCATTACATAAGCAAAACAAAACCCTAAAATCTATTATTGTTCATATATGTAGGGTGGTTAAATTATGTTTTGGAAATTGTTTTAGTTTTGTTAGTTAATGTATTTGATGATTTTTCTAGTCTTGGAGTCTTTCAAATAAAAAAAAAGCCATCTCAATACGCTTTCCGTAGGTTTTGATTGAACTCAAAAGTGTGTGTTGTGTAACGATCCTGCAGGGTTTTTGATATGTTGATACCTATGAGAATGTATGCTTTTGGTTTTAGACTGTAATTGACATTGATTTTCTTGCCTCGCTTTATTTCCATTTGTCGACAATTTTTTTCTATTAGGCAGGCAAATCTCCGATGTTTCTAGCGATCTTACCATAGAAATAGGAGCATCAAGTGTTGAACTTATTTGGGTTCAAATTCTGATTATTTGAACATTGCATACCTCATCGACGAATAAGAGATTTTTTTATTTTTATTTTTTTTTGTTACTAGGGTTCTTTTTTTTTTTTTTTTTTTATACTGTGATATTCGTGCTTCATTTAGATTAGTATTTTCCTTAATAATTATAACCCACATCATCACCCAAGTCATTTAATGTTTAAAACTCTTCACATCACTCTTAATATAGACCGTTGAATGTTATAAAATCTAAAGCTAAAAAGCGTGTAAAAATATTTGTCCCTTGATCCTATTCTATTTGGAAATTTTCGACGTGATTGTTATATCACCGTGTCTTGTTACACTTATAACTAGAGCCGTATCTCGATGTAAACTAAGAATGAAAGCCATAAGTGACGAGATCTTTTTAATTTTGTCTCTTTACATAATAGGTTTTTTCAATAAACTAATGAATTAGAAAACTTTTCGATCCAATCTACCAGTTCTCTCTACGACACAGGAAACTAGAGGAACATCATATTAGATTTAACATATTTTTTTTTTCCTTCATTGAAAATACTATGGATCAATAAAAACTTACAAGTAACATAAAGGTATGAAAAAACATGAAACTTGATTTAAGGTGAAACTCAATGCACATGTTTAGTTCGTATTGCTTTTGGGCCGACTTTGCATGGCGAGATTTTTTAGTATGCTGACTAATGACTTAATGTACTGAACTATATTTTTATATTATATGATAAGCTTTTGCTTCATAACAGATATCACTTAAAATTCTTGACACGTCAATTATATCAACTTATAATTAATTATTTAATGATATTACATGATAGTATAATGGTCGGAATCAAATATTTCTCGTCAAAAGCAGCTCAAAATAATTGGTCATATCACTTAGTACATGTTTGGTATCAAGGTGCTTTTATAAAAAGTTGGTATAAAAAAAACTGAGCTCAAAAAGGTATTTGGTAAACACTTAAAAACAACTTATTTTCACAGTTTTGGTGAAAAAAAGATGAAAACGTGAAACAATAAAAATGAGCTTATTCTCACAATCTAGCAGAAACAATTTTTTTTCAAAGCACAACAATATTATACTAGTCCTTAGTTTCTTCAGAAATCAAGAAACTTCCAGTACCCACGGTCACAGAAAAAATTGAAAGGTCTACAAATCTGCCACGGCCAACGGAACACCACCACCTCATTGGCTCTCACAGAACCTCCCACGGACACGTGGACACGTCAAATTTGGCCTTTTTGTGCCAGTGAAAATGTCAGTTCTCTCACTCTATTACATCAATCAAACACGTCTCACACAAACCCTACACGTGTCGCCACGTGTCGCATGGGCCATCAAACCGTGGGTAAAACTTAACCCACCTCCATCTAACCACGGTTAACAGTGTTGACTGTCCGTGTATATTTATCAGCAACAAGCCCAACTAAAAATTGAAGCCCATGGTTACAACTATTCTCTGCTTTTAACTTTTGGCTTTTGGCTTCTGTGTTCTCTCTCTTCCGCTCTCTCTAACAAAAAAGCAGAAGCACTTTCTCAAATGGGGCTTTCGAACTTCCCGAGTGCAGAAGGGGGCGTGCTGCCATTGCTAGTAATGAACACAGTTTTTTCCTTGGCTCTGCTAAAGAACATGGCGAGATCTGTGCTCCAAGTGATGGGTGTCAATATCAATTCCCACACTTTCGACGAGAACCCTGATGGGTGTCCTGAGGAAATGCCTAGAGAGAGAAGAATCTCAATAACCCAGTTCAAATCGTTCTGCAGAAACGGGGGAAAAACAGAGTGCTGCGTCTGTCTCTGCGGGTTCGAAGCAGAGCAAGAAGTGAGCGAGTTGTCCTGCAAGCACTTCTTTCACAAAAGTTGTCTGGAAAAGTGGTTCGACCACAACAGCAGTACGACTTGCCCTCTCTGCCGCTCTATTGACTAAAAAGATAAGTTCTTTGTGTTATGGAGTTTTGGGTTCATCAGCTGTACTTTTTCTTGTTGTTGCTTATATTATCCTGTTATTTTTTAGCACAAATTAGAGAAAGTTAATTTAAAATGTTTGCTTTCTGGTTTAATTTGTGTTTGTACTTTGTACTTGTACCAAGAGGATTAAAAATAAACAAATAAAGGAAGGGATAGGCGTTGGAGCATTGAAATATTTGAAGGTTTGGTAATTTTCTATTGGCTCTTGTTTTTTGCCACCAAATATTTGAGAGGTTTTTCAGCGTGATCGGTACATAGGATGATATAAAATGTGTTATTATATAAATAGTGAGATATTTATGTTAAAAAATTAATACCTTAAAAAATAAAAATTTTCAAAATTTTCACTACCTTTATTAAAACACGTGATGTACTATTTGTATTTCCGTAAAAATTTCTCCAAAATCTTCAATCTGGAACAGAAGAAAGAAAGTATGGGACTTGGGATTGGGAATTGGACACGGATAAAATGGGTGTCAGATAATTTATTAAAAAGAATAAGTGGGTGGAACACATGTCTTCAAAAATTTCAGCATGTTTGATTTATGCTATTTGAGAAAGAGACACCATTTTATTGGGTAGTAAATACTTTCATAAAAAGTAAAAGTTGATGCCTTTCCTTTTTGCTTTTTTTGGTTTGCAAACGGCTATTTTTAGTTCAAACTAATTATCTTCGAAACTTCTTTTGGATTTCTTCTACTATAAAATCCCATAAGTACCATCCCATGACCCATGTTTGGATTTCTTCCACTGTAAAGACATGCTTGCTTACCGATAAGAGAAATCAAAACTTTATTGAATTTAAAGCTTCCGTTTGGTATCTTACTTGAAAATTAGATTCAAGAGTTTGGTTTTTCTCGTAACCTCATTTTTTTTAATATTAAAAAATTTATTTAATAAATCATGAGTTGGTATTTCAATGATAAATGTTGGATTGCAAGGTTTTTTTTTAAACTAAAAATTAAGACTTGCTATCAATTGTTCATTTCTTTAAAAAAAAAATATTAAAAAAAACTTGTTTAGGAAGCAATTTTGAAAAAAATTGTATCCAACAATAAATAAAATATAAAATTCAAAAACAAAAAAAATATCAAACTCCCAAATCATCCCTGAATCCCCGATAACCCCAACTTTCACTCCCTCGCCGCCCACTTCGCTGGCCTATCCCCTGACCCCGTAAAACCCCGGCCAGTCATCTCTCGTTGATTTCTCTCTTGTCTCTCTCCTTACTCCCTCTTTATTTCTCTTACTCCAAACTCTCGTCGACAGGAAGAGATGCCCGTTGGGTCGCCGGTTTCGGCTTCAAAGTCCAGCGATCTATAGTACCAAGGAGACGAGAAACTAAATCGCAGTGGCCGTTCGCCGTCGATTTATCTCAGCCCACAGGAAGAAGGGTGGAGTTGGTGGACAAGCGGATGGATCTTAAAAGTTCAAATAGTTTAAACGCAAACTTTGTGTGTTTTCAACAGCAAAGCTTTGTGTTTGAGTTGTTTGTGTTTTCAAATACATGTGTAACCCAAAAAATGTGAATTTCTCGCATCATGCCAGGGTTCGAACTTGCAATGGATGGCAAAGTTAGTTCTATGCTATGATAATTCGCTACAAATTATTATTGTTTATAAAATAATGCTGTTATGGTTTTAGATTTGCAACCTGACAACATAAAATAAATTTAATTAAAGTTAATTCCATTTTATTTATTCTCGGAGTTTGATTTAATATAACCATTACACAAAGCTTAAAAAAGGCAAACATCCACTCAATAAAAAAAAAGAAAAATAGAAAGGGATGGAAAGAGAAAGAGGAAGAGGATTACAACACAGACCAGTACAAACATAAAACTGTGGTTTCTTCTATAAGAAATCATCAGCAGTACAAACCAAATATGAGGTACAAATTTCAAAGCAATTTGTTAGCTTTTTCATTATTTAGATGGTAACTTATACCATTAAGGACCATATATAATAATTAACCTTGGGTATAAATAGAGGGGTTTTGTGCTTAATCATTTCGCATGCTTTGCTGGTTCATGAGGAATTTCTTGTGCTCAAACTCAATGAACTCCGCAGCTTCTTCATCGACATCCTCCGCCTGATCACGAGCCACATAATGCGTCACGTGCGCCCTCCTCGTTGTCCTCGGGGGTTCTATCACAGGTGCCCTCCTTGTTGTCCTCGGGGATTCTACAACACGTTCCTCGTACTCATCGCTGAACTTCACAAGGTGTCTTGGTCGATGTTGGGCATTAGAAGTGAACCTATCATTCATAGGATCCACAGTGGATGCGAAGAACTGGAAGTCGTTTGAGTTACTGCTCCAATACGACATTTTCTTGTATGTAGTTTTCGGTTGCTTTGTTTAGGTTGTAGGATGGGGAAGGAGCTGTATTTATATATGGTAGTGGCAGAGGAACGCGTAGGGTTCGAATTTTTGAGCTGCATTGCGGCTGGCGGCTGGAGAAGAAATGTAGGGTTTCCATTATTCTTGAAGGATAAGTTTGAATCGAATGCCCTCCTTTCTGGCCAAACTTGGTGGTATACAGAATCCCACAAAGCAACAGCACCGAAGGGTTCTCTTTGGATAAAAAAGTTGGGCAGGCAGGAATTTGAGCGTTCAAAATTCATTAGGTCTCGTCAGTGATGAAGTCAGATATTTGTAAGAATGAGGGCATCTTCAAACAACAAGTACAATTAAAAAAATCAAGAATTCATTGCACAAAACACTTATATTTTAATCCATAAAGTTTTTCATACAACGTTTTATAATATTCCTTGATGCGTTTTCATGTGTTTGAAAGTGATGCATGACAACATCATTACCAAATACTATCAGATATCTCTCTCTATAAAAATAATCATATTATCATTTATCCATTGAACTTCTATTTGATTTCTCAATTTTTTCAGAAATTTCATGGCTGAAAATGATCTCCTTAAGCCCTATACAGCTCTGTCCTTGGGTCTCGTGCATCAACTTTGTTAATAGAATATTAATACTGTTTGAAGCCGTTGTCCATTCAAACTAACACGTATGTTGATTATAGTACGTAGCGTGTTCCAGATATCGTCCACAAGTTTTTCTGGGTTGTGATATATATGCTTTTCTGAAAGCTAAGCCCCTGATTGGTTCTGGGATTTAGAATCTCTGGACACAGTAAACTGGCATAACATAAAGGGCAGGACGACCATATTATCACACGTTTTAGCAAAAGAGATGTTCGGAAAGTATTTGGAATATGGTAGATATTTTAAAAAAGATTTTTCAAACGTGCCAGACTATGGAGAGGAATAACACATGTTATTATACAATTAGAGGAATTTTTTTTTTAAGTGTCTCTCTAATTGTACAATGACATGTGGTATTCCTTTTTGTATTCTGAACATATTGAAAAACTCGATAATTACCTTTTTTTACAAAAACTGTTACTCAAGATATCTTATCGTTTTCGCGATGTTCCGCTAAAATTATGATAAAACTTACTTTAATGAAATTTTAACCGTACTATAAGCTTCTTAAATGTCATGGAGGATATTTTGGATATGTTGGGAATCAAAGGAAGATCGTTTGGTTTTTATTGCTTTTGTGACATTCTACATAAACCATCGTAAATCTTTTTTCATATAATTTTCGTCAAACCATAAGCTTCTTAAAGTTCATGGAACACATTTCGGAGATGTCTTTCATCTCAAGTTTAGCTTGTCCTCCCATTTTTCTAGTTTTGGACCTTGCGATTGAGTTACTGAGTGCATAATTAGCATCACATTATCATAAAATCATGGCAGTACTGGGGCCATGATCCTCATCACAATAACCCCAAATCCTGCGCTTGTTTCTGGTTTCCTGCATTCTCATCGTTGCCGGAAGACGATGCATCTGCTGGAAACCAGCTTCATATTCAGCATTCTCCAATTTCATCAATGCATTGTTCAAGTTCATAGGGCCACCAAATGAAAACTGCGAGGCATTATTGTTGGCACCGAAGCCATACCATCCGTTTTGGTTCGTGCTTTCGGCATGCCAGCTGCCGCCATGCAACGGCAGAGCCTGCTTTCCGTCAAACATGGAGTTTCGCTTCATGAACCAGTCGAGGCGTAAAGTAGGCATAATTGGCACACCTGAAAGGTGGTTGTGATAGTGATAATCATACTTTTGAGTTCCAAGCTGCCTCCTTAATGCATGGAGTAGCTCTGCTGCTGAGCCTCTTGGCGCATGCCGTAGCCCTGCTGCTGCTGTCACCTGAAAAGCACGGCGCTTTTTTTCTACTTTTCCGGTTGCTGGTATCTGTACGATTTCGATCTGTTTGTCACCCCTCTTGTTTGTTTGGGGATATTTGTAGGCTTGGTTTGGAAGTATATGTAAGTTGTCATTTGATAAGAAGAAAATAATTACACCAGAAAAGGGATATGATTCCCTTTGTAGCTAAGGATCTTATTATTCTTCAATTTCAAGCAAAGAACGAAACAGGGTAAATATATCGATGATGTTTCGAACATTTGATTAACTACATATCCACCTGACTCAAGCGAGACTTGCGTACAGTGGCGCCCCTGATGTAGGTAAGCCGTTCCCGACTTGAGCACAAACCATAAAAAGCAAAACTTGATAAAGAAAACGTAAAAACTTGCTGGGGCAGTGCAGATCATTGACATAATTGACAGACTAACGGAGAAACAAAAATATTTCCAATGAATATCTTGAACCAAAAGGAGCATGACAGGAAAACAAAACATCCTAAATTGCACATACTGCGCTATCTAGTGATGCATTTTGATCAATAAAACGATCTAAAAGTAATTCAGATGTCACATACAGAGTCAGTTCATCGCATAAACGAATAATTTGTCTCATAAACAAAACTTCCCGGCAAGGGGAATGCAGGACGGTTGTACTATCTTTTCAGGGTATCCAGGGAACAACGCGATACGCCAGTATGTTGTGACACTGTTCCCAGCACAGGCAGGCTCCCTCTCAGTAGACACTAGAAAGACATGCTCCGCTTATACTAAACCCCACCCCAGTAAAAGTTATGTACAAAAACATTACCCTAAGAACTCATACGTCTCTGTCGAGCCCCCAAACATTTCCAAAGAATAATGTAAATTTAACCGAGCATGAGGCACAGCTAAGTCAGCGATACACCAGTCATCATTGTTCAGTCGAACCCTTCTTGAGTAGTCACAGAAGCTGCATGGTCAACTATCTTTACAGAAACAGACATCAAGTCTTGCTGAAATAAAGGTCAGCCACTCTCTCTTCTGCAATTCCCAGGCAAAAGAAATTTGTACTTCTCTGCATTCTCCAACAGAAAGGATGGAAGATGGACACCAGAGAAGGAATGAGGAATAGGTCCCATTTTCCCAATGATTTCCTTGAAGGTGTACTCTTCAGGAAGCATATCAAATAAATCAGACCCCTTGCAGATCACTTTCTGAACTCTTTCTGGGTTTAGATACTTTGAAAACCTGACTCTATCGTAATGGCTGTATGCTTTCATCTTAAAGATGAACTCACTGATATAGCGGAAACAAAAGCTACAATGCCACCCTGCATCTGCTAAGATGTCATCTGTCTGGCGATAGTGTGCATATCTCGTCTCCCCTTCCCGGTACCTGTGTACTGAAGCTCTCCAACTGTTATTGTCCACCAGAAACTCAAAGGAATAGAGATAGTTCTTCAACTGAAGATGCAAGATTTGAGGAACTTCGTCACACCACCTCAGAAGATTGATGGTGTGTCTGCTTGGGATCTCATCAACGTCAGACATTATCAACAAGTCGTCCTCTGTAATACCAGCTATTTTGAGAAGCTGGTCCAGTGCTACTCGTTGATATGCCTCCTCAACAAATGGATTTTCCCCTCTCTTGAATCTTCCTCCAACAGTCCCATAAGTTAATCGGGGCTCCACAAACTTGAACTGCTCGCGATAACGGGAGAAGAACAGAGGCTTTGGAAATCCAGTAAATGTTGAATTCGATTCAAGGAGAACAAACTGCGTTATGTAGGGATACAACTCTTTCCATCTTATGGTAAGGATGTCCATCTCATTACTGAACAACACTGCATCAAAAACACGCCTAGGGTACTCACGGATCCCCCAACCATGAAGCTTGCAGAGGTTCTCCATGGACACATTCTCGTGATAATAGTGTGGAATGTCATGGAAAGGTTTAGGTGGCGATTCCCATAGCGGCCGCAAGAAGTATGAGATCTTCTGTCCATGCACGTAAATGCCAAAGACACACATTGGAATAATTGTAAACAGAATGAGGAGAACTTTGAAGTCAAATCCACGTAGAATGCAGCGAACTCTTGACATGCTCAACATTCTGCCTGATTCCTGCACAATCATACAGACAATATTTGTCAGACGCAAGACAACATGAAATCCACCAGTCAAGAAATTCCAACTACTTGCAATAATTCAGGCGTAGATTCAATGCACAACACAAACACAACGGCAGATGATAATACTCCAAATAATTCATAGGTTTAGTAGTCCACAAGCGACATTCTTTTCGATAACAACACGAACGCTATAATATCCGTTTAATTAGCAAAAACAATTGTCAATTCCAAACCAAAAACTGAAAGTAATCCGATTCAAGAAAATTCCAGTAGAAACGTGTTACGGATCGAAAAACCAAGACTCTTGTTATGCAAAATTTCATATCAACAAGACATGGATTAGAAAATCCATCTGATCTGACTGGCCACACTTGATGAAAAAATACACAGATTACCTTTGGTTGCTAAGAAAACTCAGGTCAATAAATCGAAAACTTTATTCATAAAAAAGGGTTGAACTCTAAAATTCCCCCCCAAAAAAAAAAAAAAAAATTGCATAGGAAATATCGTACAAAAAGTTCATAGCTTTTAGGTCAAATTTCCGGTAAACCATTTTTTCACAATTTCCCAATAATCCCATTGCTGCTACATTAGCGGAGCAACCAAATATGCAAACCCAGAAAACAATAACCATCAAATCACCAAACCATACACAAAGAATAACAAAAAGCACCAAACTTTAATTCGAAAAAATAAAAAAAAAAAACGAAAAGAAAATTGAAGTACCTGGCCGCAAACATTGCCGCAGATATCATCAGTCTTCTTAGAGCAGTAATGGCCCCCTCCCTCAGCCATCATCCACCACATTCTGTATCCTCTCCCTTTCAATACCTCCACGACCCACCGGAGTTCGGAACACGGCAGATCGATCGGGCTTCCAGAAACCCGAGGGCAAAATCGGAACTTTACCCAGATTTGTTTGCTTCCCCCGATCCCTTTCTGGTTAATCACTAATCAGGCAAGCTGAGGCTTCCGTGTCACTCGGGGAGAAGAGAATCAACAGATCAAAGACGCCTAAGAATTTCCAAGAATATGATCTTTTTGTTGGGTATTGGAGGAAAAAAATAATAAATAGAGAAAAAAAAGAAAGAAGGAAAGAGACGGTTGGGAAAGGAAAGCTAAAGGAATAAGAAGGGAAAGGTGGGTGCTGCCTCTCTGGTATTGGGTGGCACTTGTCCTCACAAAGCAACTCTCTCCACCTGCACAAATCGAGCCGTTTCACTTGTCGTCTACCCCACGCCCCCTCCTCTTTATATTTTCTTTCGAATTCCCCTTTAAATTTATTTACAAATAACCTTTAATTTTAAGAAAAACTAATGAAAATAATTAAGAAAATTTTAAATTTTAACAATAAAGATAATATAAAAAGTAAGTAAATAGTATCAAATTTAAATTTTTAATATAAAAATATAGTTTTTCATCAAAATAAATAATATCGCATTTTACGCGCACGCCATGTGCTCGTTTCCTTAACGAGGGAGGGGGAGGGGTGTTTATGTCATTGCGTGGAGGAGGCGTGGGAGAACATGGGGACGGACACGGCATTGGCCGGGTCTGGGTGGGGAAGGTCGGTAAATGGAGGGGCCCACGCGGTGCTGTGACAGCCTCTCCTCTAAGACAATAAATAACACCATGACGATGTGTCGTCTCCTGCTTCATTTTGCTGACAATTGGCGCGTTGCTACTTCCACTCGGGTCTCTCTTCCGACACGTGGCTTTCTGTTCCTGGGGTTTGTCCCGCGAGGCTCAAGATCTTGTCGTATCAATTCATCTCATATCGTGCATTCGATGCTGTATATTTCCAGGTCGGTAACGTTTTTGGGCCCTTTTGGGCTTTGGATCTTCTCCTTTTATCTATTTTTCTTATTCGCTCAAGTGATTATTTATTTTTTCTAAATTTTTATTTCTCTTTACGAAACAAAATTTGAATTAGGTCACATAATAAGTCAATTGCTAATCAGAATTAAAATTTGAAACTTACAATTTAAAAGCGAAGAGAAAATTATTTAACTATAATACTTGCGGGTCAAGGGCGAGCTTGGTGCAGCAAAAAAGTTTATTCTTTGTGCTTGAAATATCGTGGGTTCGAGTCGTGAAAACTTTTTTGTAAAGTAAGAGTAAGATTGCATCCCTTCTCGACCCTCGCAAAATAAAAAGTCTTGTTGTCTTGGGATCGTCATTTTTTGTAATACTATTGGGTCCTACCATGAGGGTTTGGTTTCATTTGATTGATTAGGTCTCAAAGTTCCAATGGAAGGAGGGGCTGCGAGCGTGGGTGTTGGAAATGTTGTTGCTGTTATTGACGGGCAGAAAGAGAATAACACCCCAATTGATGGCAGAGAAGCACATGGGTTATAATTACAATAACATATCTTCATCAATTATGCATTATTTACCAATAATTTAATTACTCTAACTAATTAAATCATCTTCATTATTATATTGCCCAATCTTCCTTAACTGTTCTTTAGGGTTTATGGTTTGGAATATGCATGAAGGGTGGTGATTCTGGTGAAGTGGTTACCTAATGAATTTGGGATTGAGTATTCCTTCCCTTTTCTGACTAATTCAACCAATGACTAGTTTACTAAATCGTAAACAGAATGAGAGAAATTGAATTTAGTTATGTTCATATATTTTATAAATTACTTTGATATTACTTTAAACTTAAGATGCGTCTCAATTCTGTATTTCTACCTTCGTAATATTTTTCTTCTCAGAAAATATTCCAATTTTGTTAATTAAAAGTGTTAGATACACAAACGTCACATTGAATATATTCACGAAACCATTCAAGTCCTCTTCTAACTATGAACACACATTTTCCAAATTGAACATACTTTGGTAAACAACATTACTCTACGTGCTGCCACTCAGTATTATGGTCTGGTGATATTCATCTTCATTTGAAAGTGAAAGGTCTTAGGTTCGAATTTTGTAGATGGAAAATTCAATACCAAATTAAGTTGCATATTATGTGACTTAGCCGAACTTCTCTTCTCCTCAATGTAAAAAATATCGATATACTAAAAAGAAAATAAAACATTACTCTACTTGCTTTGATCTTTTCTTTCAAAATCGTTATTAAAAGTTTTCACGCTGAGAATAATAATTAAGATAGGTGGACAATTCAACCGATCATTTTTAAGGTCTAGATCCTTTTAGAATCAGTGTGTGGTTGCAAGTTGGAACAATTCCAAGGCGACCGGTCAACTGTGAACTAGGATATGTCGATACAAGTTTCAAATTCCAAATTCCAAATTAAAAATAAAAAATTAGCTCAACCTACAAATAAAAAACGGTCGTGTATTAACACATCAACACGCTCGGTTATTACGAATGTTAATCATTGTTAATTAGTGTAAATAACGTTTAATCTTAAAAATGAACGTTAATTAATTAGAAAATAGCAATGGTAATATTTGGTTTTGGTGGAGTTGTGCGTCGACTTGACCTAAACGTTCAAATAGACCATAGAGTACGGAATGTGTAGTGTTTGGGGCAACGACTCAAGACTCACGTCAACTAGAGTCTAGACTAAGATTATACTTATTTGACCTAAACCAAAAAAGAAAAACCTTAAGGGTTTGGAGCCACAATGGTCCTTAAAATTTGTAAAGTCTTCACTTTGGTCTTTCACTATGAAACTTGATAGAAGTTGATTTTGAGTATGTCTACCATATAGATTATTTTCTAATTTACGTGAAAAATCTGCTAATATGCTTGTTAAGTGGAGATGTTGATTTGACAAAAATGCCCTAAAAAAGGTGGTCAAGTGGTTGTTCACGTGACAATTTAATGAGGATGTTGACAGATTTTTCATGCAAAAAATTTAAATGATTTACAATGGACAAACTGAGAAACCACTTCTATCAATTTTTATTGTCATGGACAGGGATGACAATTCTAACTATTAAAACCGATAACCGTAGATAACCGCCCAAATGAATTGGATTTGTGTATGAAAATTCGGGTATATTTTGGATATGGTTATAGGGGTCCCAAATCCATATCCGTCATCGAATCCGAACTGAATTATATATAATATAATAGTATTTATATATAATTGTATTATAATATATATATATATATATATATTTATTTATTATTCACTAAATCCATTACCGTGAGAATACAAAAGTTGCACTATGTGAGTTGCATTTTGTGGGCAAGTTAAAAAGTTTTGATATAAATCAAAATCTATGATAATTCAGACCAGTAATACTTATGGGAGATATGAAAGATCAACCAACATTATCAATGTTGTCACATCCCAACCCGGGCTCCACCATATCCTGAGCTCGACTCCTCCGTAACACGATATTGTCCTCTTTGGACCTCGACCACATCTTCACGATTTTGTTTCTGGGAACTCACACGAGAACTTCCTAATGGTTCACCCATTATGGGACTTCTCTCGTGCGAACTCACTTAACTTTGGTGAACTCTAAAGCCAGTGAGCTCCCAAAAGGCCTCGTGCTATATAGAGGTGTACATATAAGGCATAGAGGATCCATTTCCCTAGGCGATGTGGGATCTAACAATCCACCCCCCTTAGGGGCCCGACGTCATCATCAGCACACTCGCACCACATGGAAGAATGGCTCTGATACCAAATTGTCACATCCCTACCCGGACTGCACCACATCCTAGGCTCGACTCCGCTGTAGCACGATATTGTCCGCTTTGGGCCCGAAACACACCCTCACGGTTTTGTTTCTGGGAACTCACACGAGAACTTCCCAGTGAGTCACCCATCTTGGGATTGCTCTCACGCGAACTCGCTTAACTTCGGAGTTCCAGTGGACTCTGAAGCCAGTGAGCTCCCAAAAGGCCTCGTGTTATATAGAAGTGGGCATGTACATATAAGGCACATCACCCCCTATCCGTTAGTCGATGTGGGATGTTACAATCCACCCTTCTTAGGGGCTCAACGTTCTCGTTGGCACACTCGCACCACACGACAGAGTGGCTCTAATACCATTATGTCACATCCCAGTCTCGACTCCGCCGTAGCACTATATTGTCTGCTTTGGGCCCTAGCCACACCTTCACAGTTTTGTTTCTTGGAAGTCACACAAGAACTTCCCAGTGGGTCATCCATCCTGGGAATGCTCTCACCCGAACTCGCTTAACTTCGGAGTTCCGATGGAATTCGAAATTAGTGAGCTCCCAAAATGCCTCATGTTATATGGAGGTGGGTATGTACGCTTTTGTTGAAAGTGCTTTTATTAGAAGCATATTGAAATTTTCATTAAAAATGCAAGTTTTTCTAAGAGAGTACTTAGCATATGCTTCTTGAATAAGCATCTGATAACACTTGATTAGAAAGTGCTTCTATGACGCATGCATACTTTTAAGTATTTTTGTCAAGAAAGTTTATTTGTAAAACGGAGTGTTTTGGTGGTTAGAAAATATTTTTAGCCATTCCATAAGCAATTTTAAACATGCTCTTACTTAATGATAACATGGATAATAAACAATTTGTTTAACACTTGTCAATAAAAACAAATCTACTCTCTTTTCGAAGAAAATTGTAACGACCAATGCATGCATGAAAAGCCTAACACAGTGAAGATGTAGAAAGCATGCAAAGGATGCTCAACCTTCCCATATCAGAGCAAGAAAAGCACAAGTTCATTCCTTAACGGCTTCTGATCTTCACACCAAAAATCCCGTCATCGTTTTGGATCATATCCTCCTTTGGCAGCTATAAATACCCCTCAAACCCTACAGACCAAAACCTACATTAACAATTTAAGCTCACCATTAAGGTAACTAAACACTCTAGCACTTCATTAATCGATCTCGAAAATCAAAAGTACGAAAAATGAAGGGCGTCGTTATAGCGGCAGTGGTGGTGGTGCTGGCCACGTTGGTTTTGGTTGAACCGGGGCATGCCACGGTCACTTGCCAACAAGCAGTGTCATCTGTGAGTCCTTGCCTTCAATATCTTACCAGCGGCTCTGGCACCCCTCCTGTGGCATGTTGCAGTGGTGTTTCGGGTCTGAGACAGCTCACTCAAACCACCGAAGATAGGCGTACAGCCTGCCAATGCCTCATGGACGCAGCAAATTAAAACCAAGACATTAAGGAAGCTGCTGCGGCTGGCCTTCCCACGGCATGCCGAGTTCAGATCAACGTTCCAATTTCTAGGAGCGTCGACTGCAACAAGTAAGTAATTCATGTACTGTATTAAAAAATTCTTACTAACAGTTGTTGTGTAATCCGCCTGGCCATGTGATTAGAACGTGCTAGGTGTTTCGATGTGTGATCATCACGTGCTTGCTACTGCTAATGTCTTTTGCTTTTGTATGAACAGTATTGAGTAAAATGAAGGCGACAGATTGAGTTGAAATAAAGAGAGAGAAGCATGGGGGATGCCGCTGCCGCTGCTATCTTCTTCAACGGCTGCACTGCATTGGCTAGCTTTTGGTTGAACGTCGTCAAGTTATGGTTCTCACTAGAGAGCCATGCTATGCCTACTAGTTTATTCAACCTACTTGTTATGTACGAGATAACATTGTATTTAATAAAATAGAGAAATCTTAGTTGTTTGTTGGATATCTTACTCTATATATATAGACACAGAGCTTTTAAATGAAAAAATTCTCACGTCTTAAAAAAAATAGAGTTTAGTTGCTGGATTAACTCTTCATTGAATTTTAATTATTCAAACCAACTACTTTAAATGCCCTTTATATATATTACCAATATTTAGACTGGCCCATATATCACCTGCACATACGAACACTTTACCGATGAAAGTGAATTTAAGCGTGAAAAATAATCAAATCAATGTATCATGCGTTGCATTCCATGTATAATTTTGTTACAACCTGCAACGAGCTCGTTTTGGGACACAGCGGGAAGTTTTCTTGTTTTCCCTAATATTGGCAAGTAGTGGAAAACGATCCACATACTTTAAAAGCCTAAATTGTGATTCAGTGTTTTGAGATATGGATTCAAGTAAGAAGTAGCTAGAAAGCATGCAATGCGCTCCCAAAATTACACCACTTGAATGATAACACTGTGAATTAAGCTATACGAATCTATAAGAATTAGAAAATCTCAAAAGTAAAACCTTGAGGAGGAAGAAGGAAGAGAGAAGTTTTGTGTATTTGATAACTGTTCTCTTACAATACAACCGACTTTCTTACATATACAATAAGAGGGAAATCAGTTTTTATACTACATCTAAATTACACCAACTTATGTCTTAAGTAACTATTGCCTAGGTGGCACTGCTGACATGGTCAATACCCCCCCTTTAATCTTAGCTAGGATAGCCTAGCTTAAGATTGAAGCAATGGCGTAGAAAATTGGGTCCATGAAGTCCTTTGGTTAAGACATCGACAACTTGATCCATAGTGCAGATATATTGAACTGATAAATCGCCACTTTGTACTTGTTCACGAACAAAATGGAAATTTGTCTCCAAG